TTGCATCTGATGAGTAAATGCAAATGTTTCCTCCATTTGAAGGCAAAACCAATAGACCCCTTACTTAAAAAGTGAGTTAAAACAAAAAGAAAGAATAATATAAAAACTAAGGGAAGGGAGTAAGTAAAGCATTTAGCTTTCTGTAACAATTCAAATGGGGATAGGAAGTTGGTTTTAAATGGCTTAAAGGGGATTAGGGTTTTAAAGTTGGATAAAGAGTTTGGTGCTTTGGTTCAGGCATGGCATTGCTTTTAAAAGATTACTTCTATATTTGACAGTGATTCCAACTGGAGATTATAAAGTAAATAGTCAATTTTAAGACACCACGGAAAACAAGAGGGGTTCTTTTTTGTTGTTGTTTGTTTATACAAAATGATTGCCTGGAGTTAACAGTCTGAATCCTGAAGCCCTCATTTCATAATGCTACTGAGCATCTATCACCAGGGAGAATCCAGCAGAGGTTGTTTAATGCACTTAATTGAGATTATCTGAGCTTCTGGTTTAAATTACTTTGGAAAAAGTCTAGGTGCAAACAGCTTCTTTGAAAGGTAAACATACTTAACTCGAAGAAAAAAGGTTCAATTTAAGTTCTTTAAAATTCTTAATATAGTTAGTAGTACCAACTTGTGTTAATTAAATTTGGATACTGACTGAATAAAGTGTAAAGATAAAAATCTCTGTACATCAATACAATTGTTACTATATTAACAGTATTTTTATTATTTTATAACTATTTGAAAAGATAATAAAGTATTTTATTAGAAAACACCCCTGGGAATTTTAGTACTTTCAAAGTAAAAAGATAGTATTTTGGTTATAAAGTACAGTTGATGAAGTTTTAAAAATTAATTTCCTTATTCGATTCCATCTAAGAAGCAAGTCATATTAAAATAGTCCAAGAATAGCTATATTTAATGTATGTATTAACTGTGAATAAAGAACCCGAAGTTTTAACATTTCCCCATCTTCCTCAGCTCCTTGACCTGTTTATGGTTTGGGATTGGTCTACTTATCTAGCCGATTATGGACAACCAGCTTCTAAGTACCTGCGGGTGAATCCAAACACAGCCCTTACTCTTTTGGAGAAGTGAGTAAATTCTGAAAATTGTTTGCATAACATTTTAGCATTTTTTGGTTCATTGATGAAATGAAGAACGAGGGATTTCCATTAAAAGAGAAAATCTAGATGGAGTTTAAAAGCTCAGTCCATTTTAATGACTAAAAGATAAGCCTTTCTTTTTTTGCCCTTCAGAGTTGGTATGGTTTCATAAGTAATTGCTGTTTATATTGATGTGGACAAAACATTTTTCCTCTTATATCCTGAGTTGCTGGCTTAACTGACCTTAGAAATATGTTTATAAGTGAGAATTGGAGCTTTTTTTTAAAATTTGTAACACGGGAAAGAAGGTATTTTGTAAAATGTGGCCAGGAATTGGAATGTTTGCCACCAGTGCTATCTAAACCCTGCCATTATGGACTTGAATTCTTTGTAGGTAGAGAAATATGTGATTTGAAAAAAATAATATAGTAAAAACTGAGGTAACAGGATTTACTGGTGCATCTTATCCAACTTAACATATTTCAGGTGTTTCTTTTTCCTCCTGTTACAGACTTTACTTGATCAAATTTCATTTTTACATATCAGTAATAAGATTTTACATTTTAAAATTAAAATTGTATGTCATTTTCCCACATTTCAAAATATCTGTGGTGTATTTTATTTGAAAGGGCAAAAGGAATTGTTTAAAATAAATGTCGATTTATTTTACAATGCCATGACACACCATTGAGGCAAAAACATTATTGTTTTAAATTTTCTAATGCTATTTTTCCTTTCACCTTGTCTTGCTATGAATGTGATTTGCAGAGTCCATAGAGGGTATGTATTTTAGCATACTTTATGGAATGATAATTAGATAACAGTGCAATAGTAATAAACCTAGTGTATTTTAGATTTACTTAACTAATACAAAAATACTTCGTATAGAATGTACAATAAAGCTGCTAATTTTTTGTGTAGTACCTCTATCTGTAAGTTTATTAGTACCTTCTTTCTTTGAAGTATGTTTTTCAAACATAGGATTAGTGTGAGATAATTCAGAGCATGCCAAGATACTTTACTTGTGACAGCATAGCTTTTAATTTCCTTTTACTAAGCTGTTTCATTCACCTATGTTTCTAGGATCAAGGATACTAGCAAAAAGAATAACATATTTGCTCAGTTCAGGAAGAATGATCGCGACAAACAGAAGTTGATAGAGACAGTTGTGAAGCAGCTGAGAAGTTTGGTGAATGGTATGTCCCAGCACACATAGACTTCACATCTGTTGAACTCAGTGGCACCAAATTCCTGACTCATCATTGATCTCCAGCAAGCGCTGGTCAGGATACAGGAATTTGTTTACAGAATTCAAAAACACAATGGAGAAAAGACGAGGACTCTCGTAAGAAATAGTAATAAATATCATTTGTATGGATTTTTAAATAATTAAATACTATTTTATATATGGAAAATGTGACATTAATTCTTTTTCACATCTGGGGAAAATGGCAAAAGTATAATATATAATCAAGTAAAAAATTGTATATGAAACTGATTCTAAACACATTAGAAAAATTATGCCTTTATTCATAAGAATTGTTTTCTATTTAGACTTGAATAATTTCTGATTTTTTCATCATTGTATGGTTTTGGAATGCATTGTCTGATATGAGAGTATTTATTTCACTCTCATTTTCTGACTTTTTTATTTTTGCCTCAGTGTGATTCAAGTAGAATAAAATTTTGAATTCTGCTGATTCTGAGGGGAATAAAGACAAATCTTTAAAACTCCCTGGAATCAAACTTGATTTAAGTCAGTAAAAATGTGATTTATTTGTCCTACTTGGGAGGCTTAACTTAATTGTTCTGAATATGAAGAAAAGGTTTTGGATTTTCTACAGATGCAATGTTTCTGTCCATCAGGGTTGATATTCCCCACTGTATTGCTTGTTGCTGACCCCATTCTAGGATTTGTTTGATTTGGTTTGGTTCAAGTTAAGAGAGGACGGGAACTAAATGGGGCTAACCACTTGAGGTGCAGCTTGTGCTAGAGTAGGTGTGTTCCTGCAAACAGAAGTTACCACAGGGGTCAGGTTACTTTCTTCAAATAGCAGATCTCAGTACTGTATCCTCGCTGTGGAAACAAGCCAAACAAAATGAATTCTGGAAAACCTAAAACAAATGTACATTTTCCTTGTGTAAGTTACTGTGGTCCAAATGGCAATATGAATCTGATCTTTATTTTCTTTCATTGTATTTATGCTGAATACTCCCTTTGCATTTTCAGGATTTATTCCTGTAAGAAACTACACCTGACTCTGTAAAATAAGTGTGAAGAATTATGTGTACATCTCTTGCTTTTGTGATGAAATATTAAAAACATTGAGCAAGTTGTTGAAAATGCAGTGCTTATTTTGTCCATTCAGAGCCTCCTGATTTAAAACAACTACTTCTTTCAGAAAAGCATCTTATTCCCTAGTTACTGGAATGGGAGTGGCACCAAAACAGCAGCAAAACACATTTGTTCTCTTGGTCATCTCTTAGCTAAAAAAGTATTTCACACTTTAAAAAATATTACATGAAAACATGGTAATTGCTTGGGGCACAATAAAATCTGGAAGTTAAGAGAAGAGCAGTGAACAGCTAGCTCTCTTTGAAGACTGGAATGTGACCGTCCCTCCCCTGCCTTACCAGCCCTCCAGGGTACTGGGAATACCTCCCCTGCTCTGCCCAGGGTTTGGAGAGATGTGGCTTTCCCACCACCCTCAGCAGACCACTGTGGGACCTCTCTACTCTTCCCAATAAACCCAGCACCTTGCAATCCACCCCTCAACCCCCGTAGAACACACAGTCCTTGACTTTGCTGTAAAGGCATTTTGGAACCCTTGATGGGATGCCCAGAACACAAGCGGGTAGACCCAGGAATGATCATTCCACGGACTCGGGAGGAGGAGGGAGGAAATGAATTCGGGCTTTGAGACGGGAAAGGGGTTCGGGAATATCCACTTCTCCCAGGCTCCAGCGACTCTGTGAAGCTTTGGGCAGCAATGAAATTACCACTATTGAAGGATTCCTGAAGTGGTGGATCAGAGAACCGAGAGGGATGAGGGAGGGTCGAAAGTCGGCCCGCTACCCTTCCTATGGCCTCTTGCGATGCCAACGCAGGCGTCGACGACTGCAGTTTCCCTCAAGGAGGGAAAACAAAGTTTGAATCTTGGAGTGGAGAGGGGAGGGAGCCTAGACGGTCTAGGGTAGGGATTCTAGAGAGCTACAACCAGGCGTGGGCTAAGCGCTGCGGGGCGCCGGCGCGCTGGGTTCGCCCACTTCGCGAGCTCCGGCGAAGGGCAGGGAAGTTCTGGCGCGAAACCGTAGGCTCCGCCCGAGGATGTGCGCGGGGCTCAAGCCGGGTCCCAGCCAGAGCACCACAGCGGCTGGTATTCCCTACTCAGAGCCCCTGCGCGAGGGCGCCGCTGCCCATCGCCTCCAATCATCACTCTGCGTGGAGCGCTTTAAATATGCAGAGGCGCGTCACGTTGTGTGCACCGGGATCCGTCCGTAGGGAGGGAGCCAATATCTATATAAATGTGTTCAGGGAGGGCCAAGAAGGGTTAAACGACTGGAGGAGAGAGAGCTGGGGTGGGGGTCTGCAGCCCAGGTTGGCAACACTGGTGAGTTGCTCCCCCTCTTCTCCCTCCCTCGCTGCTTCTATCCAAATAGTGCTGGTCCCTGGGGAAGGTGGGAGGTGCCAGCGGGTGCGGGGCGCGAGCGTTCCAGAGGCCGCCAGACCCTGAGAGGGACTGGCGTTTTGGCCCTACATTTGGGGAAAATGTTCTGAGCGTGCCGGCCTCGAGGAAGGCATATTCCCTAAGGGCGCACAGTCACTGCCTCTTCCACTGCCAGATTGTTTTTAGAGCGGAGTTCTAGTCCAAGGTTATAAATCTTCAACTTGACCCCAAGCCGTAGGTTCTTTCCAGACCGAACAGGTGAGCACCACACACTCCTCGAGTCTCAGTTCTTGTGTCCCCTGAGCGATCTGAGCTGCCTGGCCCGGCAGGATCGTCATGTTCCCCTGGGGCCTGAGCTGCCTGACAGTGCTGGGGGCGGCGGGCACTGCTATCCTGTGCGCAGCCCTGCTGCTCAGCCTGGCCCAGCACCTTTGGACCCTCCGCTGGACGCTGAGCCGGGACCGGGCTTCCGCCCTGCCCCTGCCCAAGGGCTCCATGGGCTGGCCCTTCTTCGGTGAAACGCTTCACTGGCTAGTTCAGGTGAGCAGCCCTTTGTTCCCCGGACCCCCAATATGGCCCTTCTTCCCCGCTCCCACCGGATCCTCTTCACTCTTAATTCCTCTGGAGTTAGTAGCCAGCCCCTTTCCATCACCCACAATCCCGGGGAGCGCGCAACTCTCGCCATTTGCCTGCTACTCTCTGCTGCCTCAAAAGGACCTCAGGTCACCGTCACCGGAATTCTCCCTAGAGCAACTTAAACTTGTCCTGACACAACGGGGGTTTTAGGAAGGGGTCTGAGGAGCGTGTCACCCTTCGTCCTGCGTACGTAGAATCAGAAGCCAGGAGTGCGTCTCAGCTGTGAACCCGATTAGGACCCTCAGTTTCTTCATCTCACCAATGGGAACAGGAGCATCTATATTCACACAGGGTAGTTGAGATAGTTGGGACTCTATTTTGTAAAGAGTAACGCGCCAGCCTGAGGCAGGGATTTGTTACCGAGAGGCAACTGGGAGGTCTTGGTTAGATCCCCGCCCGGTCCAGAGGCTCCGGTTCTCCTCGCCGCGCCTTACTCTTAGGGCTCGAGATTTCACAGTTCCCGCCGGGAGCGCTATGGGACTGTATTCAAGACGCACCTGCTGGGCAGGCCGGTGATCCGCGTGAGCGGTGCGGAGAACGTGCGCACCATCCTGCTGGGCGAGCACCGCCTAGTGCGCAGCCAGTGGCCGCAGAGCGCGCACATCCTGCTGGGCTCGCACACACTGCTGGGCTCGGTTGGCGAGCCACACCGCCTTCGGCGCAAGGTGAGTAGAAATCAGAGAATGGGCCATGAGGACATCAAACCGCTGTCCCCGGGCATCTGCTGTGGGACAAGGTGAGACCGAGTGTTGAGTACACTGTGAACACGACCAGGATCCCTGACTAACAAGTAGGTGAACTTGGGCCAGTCCCTGACCTTCTCCAGCTTCAGCTTATATAGACCAGGACCAGACTAAAATGTCCTTTTATCTCCGATCTTCCGTGACTGTGATACCAGAAGCACTGGAGATTATAACCTAGAGAGGGGTCAAGGAAAACTTCCTGGACTAGTTGGCAACTGAAACCTGGATGGGTGGGAGGGACTGTGTACACCAGGACAGAACTAGGGGAAATGGCTAGAGCAAAAGCCGGAAAGTTTAGGTCGGAGTCGCTTAGATGAGGAAGAAGCGTCTGGAGTTGGCCTTCTGGGTACTCCAGAATCGCCATGGACCGGACGCCGATTGTGACCAGCGCTGATCACGCGTGCTCTCCGCAGGTGCTGGCGCGCGCGTTCAGCCGCTCGGCGCTGGAGCGCTATGTGCCGCGCCTGCAGGGGGCGCTGCGGCGTGAGGTGAGATCCTGGTGTGCTGCTGGGGGGCCTGTCGCAGTCTACGACGCCACCAAGGCTCTCACTTTCCGCATGGCCGCGCGCATCCTGCTGGGGCTGCGGCTGGACGATGCACAGTGCGCCACTCTGGGCCGGACCTTCGAGCAGCTCGTGGAGAACCTTTTCTCTCTGCCCCTGGACGTGCCCTTCAGCGGCCTGCGCAAGGTACTGCAACCTCTACCCAGACCTTCCTCTCGGGGCTCCAAGGCGCAAATGGTCGCCCTGACCGAGACAGGGTGCCCTTAGCTCACTCTGCGCTATCACCTCTGCTGTGGGACGGAGGCGGGACCCAGGATTGGAAGGTGGCGTGGTGTGGCGATGGGTCCAGGGATTAGTCTCTGTGCTGACTTCCCAGTGTGACCCAGAGCAGGCTCTATCTGGGACGCTCCTGATGGGACGCGCTCCGGCCTCAGCGACCGCGGGCTTCCACAGTTTGGGTCTCGCTGACATGGGTCCCGAAAGTTGGTCGGGCACCTTCCCGCAGCGGCCCCTTCTGGGCAGACCTCCACTGCTTCCTAGTTAACCAGGATGGATATGGAACTGGCGGGAGAGTTGGTTCTGCAGACACACCCCCCAGTCCAGCCTGGCGCCAGCCCGCCAGCCTGGACGGAGACAGGAGGGTGCAGGCTTCCCGCCCCCGGCCCTGGGCCCTCTAGTTTCCGGATCAGAGAACCGTTGCCTCTTCGGACTTCAGAGCAAAAGGCAGGATCCGGAGCGCAATTAGGAGTCCCCATCCTGCCTTCCTCTCTGGGTCCTGGGACTTCTCACTCTGCAATTGCTTGGTTTTCAGTCGCCTGAATAAAAATAATAAATACGTATAAAGGGTCACGCTTTGAGCATTGGATACATTTTCTGATACAGTCCGCGCAGTCTGCAAAGTGTTATTATTCAAATTTTATTGACAAAACTGAGGCTCAAGGTTAAATGAGTTACCCAAGATCACACAGCTAGTGAGGGCAGAGAGGATTTGAACCCAATCTATTCTGGCTTCAAAACTCAAGTGTTTTATAATGTTTCCCCAGAGGGGATGCGATTGCTGAGCTTGCTCCCTGACTCTGAAGAAGCATCCCAACCCTCTTGCCTGTGCCCTTATAGAGGTTCATGCTCTATAATGGTCTCTAATGCTGAGACCATCCAATAATGTCCCTTAAGCGGGAGCTTTCCTGGTGCCCCTTCCTTTCTGCACTGGTACCCACTGCCCTAGTCTCAGCCCAGTGTAGTCAGTCAAAAGGTGGTGGGTGAACCTTAGCCTGCCTGACTGGGCCCTGTGCCAGGCATGAGCATTGAGACCTGTGTGACTCCGGGCAATCACTGGACCCCTCTGAGCCTCAGCATTGTCTCCTCAGGATGACAGTAACTATCTGCCTTGCCTCAGAAAGGGCTTGTGATAATCAAGACAGATGATGTTTGCAGACAGTGGACAAATTCTGGACCATTTATTGGGCCCTGCTATGTGCCATGAGCTGTGCCAGGAGCTAAGCCAGGAGACTGTGAACCCCAGGATCTCAGCAGAGCCAGGGCTGGAAAGGTTATCAGTGTAAGTGGCCAGACCTGGCCTCCTGGGCATTGCTGCCCCCCCTTCCTTCTTTCCCTGTATATATATCAGGGCATCCGGGCAAGGGACCAGCTGCATCAGCACCTGGAGGAGGCCATTGCTGAGAAGCTTCATGAGGACAAGGCTTTGGAGCCAAGGGATGCCCTCGACTTGATCATTCACAGCACTAGGGAGCTGGGCCATGAACTCTCAGTTCAGGAGCTGAAGGTGGGTGGCAGGAGGCTTCTCCTTGCCTTGTTTCCATTCCAGCAGGTGTCTACACATACAAGCTGCTACTGCCTGGCACTCCTCAGGGTAAGGGGAAAGAGGGTTCCAGTCTCGAGTCAGCCACAGGCACTAGCTGTGTGACTTTGAGTCCCTCACTGTCCTTCTCAGAAGGCTTGAATCCTAAGCCCATCCCTACCAGTTTCTGGCCCCAAATGGCTCTGTTCTCCACCTCCCACCCCTCTTTCTCTGTCACCCCGTGCCTTTGCTGTCCCCCTAACTTTCCCCCACAAACTCTAAGGGGCTCAGGATCAAATTCCACACCCTTGAAGCTCCTCTTTTCCTCTAAAAACAGGGTCTTCTTCTGTGAGCTGCCTTAGCACTTGGCACTTGGCACCTCTGCTTGTTTCACTTATATAGATTTCCTGGAGAATCAGTATCCCTCTCCATGTACGTGTAGAGCATGGTGCAGTAGAAGGAAGGAAGCTTTGGAGAACCCAAAAAGTAATAGAGAGGCTTGAGAGGGAGGGACAGTGAGAAATGGGAACACCCCAGTCTTCTCTGAAGAACTCTCATCCTTTCTCTGGACCTTGGTTCCCCACTTTGTACCAGCCAGGCCCTGACATGGGGCTCAGCTTTAGTTTCTTTTCTGAGAATGGAATTAATAGTCTCTGTAATCTCGATGCTGATTCCCGAGGTGGTTGTGAAGTCCAGAGGAGTTGGTGGGTTAGAAGAGAATGAGCAATGGGCTCGTGAGTTCTGGGGGAGCCTGGTGGGCAAGAGCAGTTTTAGGCTACGAAGGGGAGTGGTGTGGGTGGTCCTTCTGCCTTGACAGGACTGGGATGGGGTGACAAGGCCCTTTAGGTTCTCAGGAAGGGATACTGGACAGGAATCTTAAATTCTGTCATTGGCATCAGAGGCAGACCAGGCTGAGTGGGCCTGACCAGGGAGGGTGTCGGGGCACTGGCGTTTCCAGCCCAGTCCCCTATTTTGCAGGACACAGCAAGCAGTCAGCCTCCAGCCACGTCAATCATTCCACAGATATTGTTCTGTATCTACTCAGTGCCTGGCTCCATGCTGGGACTGGGGAGCCGGCGGTGAACAAAACACAGCCCCAGTCCCTGAGGTTCAGGAGAAGAGAGTACACATTCATCTTACGATAGTGGGAATCAGTGTACGAACACACACTGTGGGTGCTGCCAGGAAAGAAGACACTGGGCCTTGGGATTTGGGAGGACAGAGACAGTCAGTGAGAACTAGGGACTGGAGGTTGAAGCCACCAGTTCCTCCAGAGCAGTCCAGGAAGAGATATAGTGAGCCCAGGAATTGTACCTCACAGAACTGAGGTGAGAATCAGTGAGTTAATAAACTAAAATCAGTAAGGATAGTGCTCAGAGTAAGTTCCACCCCGAAAGGCAGGGGGAGGGATCCTAATTTTGCCCGTGCTATCTGTGACCTTCCCAAGTGGCAGACTTGGACTTCAGGACCTGTGCCCATAGCCACAGCGGTAGCACATCCCTAGATCCCTGGCCTTTAGGCGGTAGTGACTTTGGGCTTTTGGTGCCATGCGGGGCCATGCATTCAGTGCCCTTGGCGACTAGAGACTCAGCGCCCCCGGGGCTGTCTTGCAGGAGTCGGCCGTGGAGCTCCTCTTCGCTGCCTTCTTCACCACGGCCAGTGCCAGCACCTCCCTCCTCCTGCTGCTACTGCAGCATCCGGCAGCCGTGGCCAAGATTCGGCAAGAGCTGGTGGTGCACGGGCTGGAGCGCGCGTGCGGGTGTTCCCCTGGGGCCGCTGTGGCGGTCGGGACCGTGGCAGGGCCCTGGCCGGACTGCGGCTGCGAGCCGGACCTCAGTCTCACCGTGCTGGGCCGTCTGCGCTACGTGGACTGTGTGGTCAAAGAGGTGCTGCGCCTCCTGCCGCCGGTGTCGGGAGGCTACCGCACAGCTCTGCGCACCTTCGAGCTCGACGTAAGTGCCTGGCTGAGCCTGTTGCTGGCCTCCTCCCTCCAGGTGGAATAAATAGAGCCCCTTAGTGTGTCCTGTACCCGGTTCCTCTAGGTCACAAGGTCACAGGAGCGAACATTGTTACCTGCCCAGGGCTTCAGTGAAGGCCAGGTTCCAGGCAAAGGCGACAATTAAAATACACAGTAGAGTCTCCTCATGGGCTGATCAGGCTGGCTTGGAGTGGGCAAGGTTAAGGTCTAAACCTGTCTCTATCTCTGTAGGACCTTAGGCAGTTCCCTCTTCACTCTGGACCTCAGTCTACCCTCTGGAATGAAGCTGCTTTGGTCCTTTCCAGCTCTAACACTTTAGATGGGCTAGGTGCTAGGACTGTGTGAAAGTGTCTCCTTTGCTCTTCAGAACTGTGGGTGTTTGCCTGAAAAGCTGTCGCTGTAGTCCCCAGAACACCAACTCCAGTGGCTGGGTGGCTCCAGGCAAAGAGTGAGCACCTCCATCTCTTGCAAACATCTGTGGCCAGAGTTGGGAGGTGAGGAGCTAAGCTCAAAGTGCAGAGGGAGGCGGCCAGAACCCACAACCTCATTCTATACTGTGGTGAAGAGAGTGATCTCTAGAGTTGGGTGACACCAGAACATTGTGGGAGCTCTTATTTGAACCGAAGCAGTGAATGGTTAGGATGGGGTCTCACCACAGAAAGAGAACAGCCCAGACAGAGGTGAATGTTTAGAAGTGCTTTGGATACTGAATCTGGAATCCGGATTTCACTTGGAAGGGGTGCCCTACAAGACCTTAGGGAAACAAAAGGAGGGGAGCACAGAACTCTGGAAGTGAGCAGAAGACAGGGAGGGGTCTGAACGACCCTCCAGTTTACAAATGGGAAAAATGAGATCTAGAGAAGAGAGAGAGTGCTCCTTGGATTATCCCACGCTGTTCTGTCCCCCTGTTGGAAACTGTGAGTGTTCACCCTGGAACCTCTTCAGACAAGAGTAGCAGCATAGTTGGGGGTTGGAAGACACATCAAAAAGCGAAATGGTTGAGAAAGCTGGGAGTATGAAAGCTGCCTTCCAGCATTTGGAGGATTCGCCAGTATAATTCTCACATGTCCCTTCTGAAAGTGTGGCTACCAAATCTGAACATTATTGTCCAGCTGATGGGTAGAGAGAATGGGAAGTTTTTTATTTAATGCAGAGAAGGGCTTTACAATCAAACTGACCTAAAGGAATGGGTGTCTGTGTTATTTGCCTTGTTCTAGCTCAGGCAGCTGGTAGGTCTCTAAACAGGGCTAGAGCTTAAGTCTCTTGATGTAATGTCAGAACGGAAAAAGAAAGACAAAATCAAACACAGGAACATAAATAATAGATCTCATTGACTGAAGACTAAAATGGGCCAGATCCTTAATTCCAATCCTCACAACAAAGTGGTCATTTTGATCAACAAACTGAGACCCAGAGTGAATGAACACCTGGCCCAAGATCTGGCAGGCCATACAGCTCACTTTGAAGGAGCTGAAATTGGAAAGCAGAGCTTTCTCCAGGCTTCCAGATTAGTCGGGCCTTCCTGCTGGCTTTCGGAAGCTTGTTCAATACATCCACGGTGGAGGGTTCGGGCGTGGTTGCCGGGTACCTTGAGGTCAGGCTGGACTTCTCCCCTCCCTTTAGGGCTGCCAGATCCCCAAAGGCTGGAGCGTGATGTATAGCATCCGGGACACGCACGAGACCGCCGCGGTGTACCGCAGCCCTCCCGAGGGCTTCGACCCAGAGCGCTTCTGCTCGGGGCGCGAAGATGCGCAGGGCGCCTCCAGTCGCTTCCATTACATCCCTTTCGGTGGCGGTGCACGCAGCTGCCTCGGCCAGGAGCTGGCACAGGCTGTGCTCCAGCTGCTAGCTGTGGAGCTGGTGCGCACCGCACGCTGGGAGCTGGCAACACCCGCCTTCCCTGCCATGCAGACCGTGCCTATCGTGCACCCAGTGGACGGGCTGCGGCTCTTTTTCTATAGGCTCACGCCTTCAACTGTGAGAGATGGGCTATGCTTCTGATCTGCTGCGTTGCGGGACACAGTGTGGTCGGTGGCAGTGATGCGCACGCAGCGCCACCCACCTGCAGCTCCCTAGTTCAGCGTCGCGAACCCACTCACTTGTTCACTCTTTCAACAAACGTTCACCAAACACGTCTCTGTGCCTGACTCCAGGGACAAGAAGCTTGAACCACAGCAGCCGAGCCAGAGAAGCGCCCAGAGGAAGGAAAGGTCGTGGGTCAGGTCTCTTAAGACCTTCCCAGGATATCCAAGCAGGGATGGAGGGAACATATTTCCACTAAGTGTTTCGCCTCCCTCCAGAGCCAATTCCAGAAGGGTGCGTGGATGGCGGGGTCGCGGGGGGAAAGGGTATTGCACCTTGCAGATTGTGCCAGAGAATGGGTACACGTGGTAGGATCTGTAACCCTTTTGAAGAAGCAGAGATGCCTGGTGCATCCTACCCTGGCTTTGGACCATAGGAAGCGATGTCCCAACGGAAGACCCTCAGACAGCTGACCTTGGGCTTCATGTGCCTTGGCTACTCTGCAGATCTCAGCAGAAACTCAGAACAGTGGGCGCTTCCAGGGCTCTAAAAGGCTCAACATCACCGGATTCTGCTGGCGACTTCTAACAAGAAAAATTCTTACTTTAAGAACACATTTAATCTCCCCATTTATACAGGACAGAATAGGCACACCAACATGTCTCTAATGCTGGATTATTTTCATGGGAGGCTGACACATAATCAGAGAGGTTTGGGATATTTGTACCCAAAACAGGAAGGCCAAGAAATAAAATTTCCTGGCAATAGTTGAGTGAGAAGGCTAGGGCTTAGCTGGGCAGCTGCTCCCTGGTGAAAAGGCCTGGGGTGGAGGGTGGGGGAGGCCTGGGGAGGACCCACCCAGGGTATACCCAAAGGGGGGCTGGGAGCTGGACAGCCTGAGCCCAGCCTCTCAGTACTTCCCTCCTGAGCACACACCTGGAAGCCGAGCTTTGGATTAATCTCCCCAGGAGCTGGCTGCAGGGACCCACTCTTCTGCTTCCTCTGTTACAGGGGGAAAATAAGGAGCCAGTGAGGGGAATAACTCCTCTGGGGAGCCAGACACAGGCTCCGGGACTCACCAGCCAATGCTCTCCTTCTCCCCATCACTTAACTCCCTTGCCCCAAACCTCTGCACCTGTGGGCACCAAGCAAGACACAGCCCTTTTGCCTCCTTTTCATAGTGATCCCTAGCCTTACTTGAGGGCTCTGTCAGCCTTCCAATTCCGAGGTTCCCACCAGTGTTTAATAATTCAGAGCCCAGAGCTCTGTGCCATCACTCCCAACAGCTCACTGCAATCTGCCACTGATCTTCTGACAGGCCCAGGCAGCTGGACAGGGGAAGTCACGGCCCAGGCCCAAGCTGACCCCTTAGTGAACCAGAAGGAAGCCAGTGCCCTCCTGACCTTATGCTTAAGGTGGATCCCAATGGAAGCCAAAGGAAAGAGAGACATAGCAGGCATGTGCAGGGTTGGTAGCTCAAGAGAGCAGTGGGCTCTTTCGAGCTGGGCTGCCTATGCCATTACCCCGGACAATGCAGTTCATCCCCCATTACCAGTGGTAGGCCCAACACCAGAGCCTGAGTTCAGCAAAGGTAGCAGGATTCAGTCCTGCCCTCACAGTGCTAAAAATGCAGAGGACAGCTTGGCCAGAGCCTGGAGAAACTCAGAAGCAGAGGACCTAAGGCTTCACAGTTGATTATGAATTGAGAGGAGAGAAATGTGCAGTGGGGCCTCAAGAAACAAGGACAGTTGAGCTGGGTCCAGGAAGACATGGTTTACCTGCTTTGGGATCTGGACTAAGTATAAGCCTCTGTAAGGGTGGTTCCAATTTTACTCTAATTGATCGATATATCCTATTCAGTAATTTCAAGGAATATCTGAACTCCAATTTCAGTAGCTGCAGTTTCCCTGGAGAAGGAGCAGAGTAGGTTGTTGCCCTCCTGGACTTCATATGCTCAAGAAGGAGGGAGACAATAAATAAACTAGCAAACAAAAGAGCAAGAATATGTGCAGTGGTGATAAGTGCTGTAAAGAAAATAAAACAGGCCTGGAATACAGAGGGCATGGGGCTAAATTTGGCTGTCTGGGTAGGTAGGGGACACTTCTCAGGGGAAGTGACATATGACTTTGGCAGGAACCAGTCATCAGCTGTGCTCTGGAGGAGGGGTGCCCCAAGCAGAGGCATGGAATGAATATTCAAGAAATAGAAGAAGGGGTGAAAGGAGAAAAGTGGAGGAGTGCTTTCTCCTCCCCAGCTCATCTGACCCCCAGTGTACTCCTGGGTCACTCCTCTCCACCAGCAAAAATACCACTCCCCATCCCACCGGACCCCAGCTTTTAGCAGTAGGGAGGGTGTTTTGTAAACATCTCAGAAACGTTTTGTTTTCAGTGAACTACCCCCTCTCCCTGCTCACCACCACCCAAGAAATCTTGGGGAGGTTCCTAGATCAAAGTTCTCATTGGGCTGGTAATTTATTGACCTCCTTTCCCCCCTTCAAGATGATTTTTAATAATCTTTCACTCTCACATTTAATCCTTCCCTGTCAGACGCCTTCGCAGGTTTCAATGAGCAGATAGATTTTAAAAAAATTTCCCCCTGTGGCAATTTCCAGCACGCAGGCCCTGCTCATCTTGTGACCCGGTGAGCGCTGAACTTGGCGAGGTGGCCCAGCAGAGTTCACTCGGATGTCACGGTCCGGCCTGCGGGGTCACAGGCAGGTCAGGCCTGAGGATTGGGAACCGGCCCCAGGTCACGCCCCCATAGCAAGCTTTGCACACCGGCCGGAGGCGCTGTCCAAAAAGGGGCGGGCTCCGGATTTCTGAGAATTACCTCTAGCGCGATTCGCCCGGGTTCGTGCCGGTGACCAGAGGTTAGCTCGCACTGTTTATAGTCACCAAATCGTTAGAAGAAATGACAATGGGAGAGGCTGAAATCCTGCCCAGAGCATTTAAAGCGCTGACTCCCCGAAACCTGCACTGCCACGATCCGGGCTTGGAACATTGCTGGGGCTATGGGAGTTCCTAAAACCTCCGCAGATTATTTCCTGACCCCTCTGGGTTTGGGCACCCCCGGGAGCGCAGCTCTTTTTAACCGTTCTCAGGACCAAAGAGTTTTCCACCTCCAAGGGACGCTCTCCAAGGCATGCGGCGGGCTTCGGCCAGAGCCAGTGTTCGGTTCTAAAAAATACGTCATTCTGTTTCGTTTTCGGCGCCCGCTGGTGCTTTCGGTGCCCAAATCAAGGGGGCGTGTGGCCCTGGCTGGCCCGGAGCCGCGTGGCTGGGCCAGGTGGAAAGCTAGGAGCGCCTGTGCGCGTTCAGCAGCGTCCAGCTCCAGCCATTGGCTGCAGGAGCGGCTGATTGTATTTGGGCAAAATGCAGACGACCCGCTGCCCAGTACGGGGAACCCTCTGATCAGAGGTCGGCAGAGGCCTGGGTTTAGGGCTAAGCACCTCTCTCACCTGTTTGAGGACAATGGCTTTACTCTGGGTGGGAGCTAGGAGAGAGGAGGAAGGTCACCCTGGTAACGCAGACATACTTGCAGGGAGCTGGGAAGAGTTATTTGCAACCAAAGCCCCCTTTTGGGAACTCTGCTACCCCGAGGTGTAGACAGGTCCGGAATGATCGCCTCCATACGTGTATTAAGGAGGAGGAAGCAGGCACAAGGATGTGTGGTGACTTGCCCAAGGTCAAGCAAATACAGATAAAGCGGGGACTCAGAGCCAGGTCCCTTGAGTTTTCCTTCCTCTATCTCGCCAGGACTAAGGACCCCTTCCCCGCTGCCTAGCTGGGGCTTCAAGCCCTGGGGGCCTCAAAATCTACCCGGCTATGGAGTCGCGGATGAGTTGTCCCTGTGGTCCCTCTCTGGGGCGTCAGGGCTGGGGATCATGATTGTACAGGGTAGCACCTGGGGGCTTCAGGGACCTGAAAGCTCTCGTGTATCCTTAAGTAAGGCCTTCCAAGACTTTATGTGTGTTGGCCCCCTTGCGGAGGCTGGAGAGCTGGGATCCACGATCCGCCGGCCATGCTTGACTCCCCGAGGCTCTCGCTTGCATCCTGGTCCTGGGCTGTTCTGCACTATCTTCAGAAGAGTTGGGAGGTCTGCGTTGTGCTTCGAGTTTGGACCTCAGTTTCCCCACTTGTGGGACGAGGCAGCCGGACGATTCCTGAACGCACTTCCCCTTGCTTCCCTGGCAGGTGGAAGGGAGCTCACGCGGCGCCTGTAAAAGGAAGGCGGTTTGGGTTGAGGCGGCCCGTCGGACCCGGCAGGAGGGATTCCGAGGAGACCGCCAGGGAGCCTGGGGCTGGAATTCCTGCTCCCTGGCCCGCCCCCGCCGCCGGCTCGAAGCTCCGCACACCACGGATGGGGGAGGCAAGCTGATCCTAGCCCCGCACCCCAGGAGGCACGCTCGAAGGGAAGCCGCCACCGCGCCGCCTCTGCCTTGGCGCGGAACAAACGGTTAAAGATTTTGGGCAGCGCCTCGCGGGGGGAGGAGTCAGGGGCCCAATCCGCAATTAAAGATGAACTTTGGGTGAACTAATTTGTCTGACCGACCAAGGTAACGTGGGCAGCAACCTGGGCTGCCTATAAAGCGGGCGCACGGCGGGGTTTGGAGCGCTCGCGGCGGCGGCGGCAGGTGGCGCGGGAGGCCGAGGCGCGCTATGGGGCTGCCCGCGCTGCTGGCCAGTGCGCTCTGCACCTTCGTGCTACCGTTGCTGCTCTTCCTGGCCGCGATCAAGCTCTGGGACTTGTACTGCGTGAGCAGTCGCGACCGCAGCTGCGCTCTCCCCTTGCCTCCGGGGACTATGGGCTTTCCCTTCTTTGGGGAAACACTGCAGATGGTGCTGCAGGTAAGGGAGTTTGGGGAGAGACAAGACGCTTTCCGCGAGCCCGGCTCTGCTCTGGGCTTCCGATGAAGCAGGAGTAGGCGCCCCCGGGAAGGAGGCGACCGCAAACTAGGAGCAGGGCTAGCCGGAGTCGCG